AGAGTCTACTAATATTAATCCACAGCACTGCCTTGTCGGTATAGCATAGGAAAAAACTAGATTCTCACACGTACTCTGACTTGTTCCCCAGCAGACAGTTTGAAGTGAAGATATTTAATATTTTTCTTGTCAACTTCATTTTATTAGTTATTTTCCAAGAATTTCTGTTATTCAAGCCTTCAAAACATTTCTTTAATTTAAAAATCAAGGCCTGGCTCCTTAGAGCACCTCCAGACAAAAACAACCTTTTTCCATGAATGTCTCAGTTTTACCAACAAGACAATTGAAATGAAAATAAACTAGCTGCTAGATTACATCTTAATCACGGCCACAAGCTCAGATAGAACAGTGGTGATGTAAATAGGCACACTGCGCTTCATCCAACTGAGAATCGGTGCTCAACAGCTAGGACAACTGGTGCTGCTGCATGGCGTTGAAGGCTGGAGCACTCGGGTCAAAGTAAAAATATTGAGAACGTCACATTGTTTGTTCTCCAAGAGCAGGTACAGACAGATTGAAAGACAACCGTAGATCTTCGTCAGATGAAGACAGCTATGTTGAAATGTTAATTCATATGGAATACATTAGTTATTTATGACCAATAAGATATGATGATTCCATATAAATAGGAAATATCAATCTGATTGATGTTTGAATGTTTAATCAGAAGATTCTAGGGTCCTTTACTTCTTTAGGGACCATAAACACACTTCGTATTAGCCTCCTGAGACCTGAATTTGTATTTGGTGTGATGTAAAATAAAATTAAATAAAAAATATTAACAGGTTTTCTAGACAAAACGGAAAAGAGATGTTTTTACCAAAATTCGATATTAAATGTTTCTAAATAAAAAGAACAAGGTCTAATTTGAAGAGAATAAAATCTTTTAGTGAAAAACGCCAATGGGGACACAGGGGCATATTTTCAGACAGAGTCAGTATATAGTTTATAAAATGAATGTAATTATTTTTCCTAAACTAACTATTTATACATGGCAAGATATGAATAATGGGATGTATTGTAATGGATCTAGAGTGATTGAATGTGATGGGTGACATTTTGCAATGGAAGCTAGATGTTTAGCAACCGTTTTTTTTTTTTTTTTGGTATCTGAGAGAAATTGTGAAATCTGGGCTTTAAAATTATTTGTTGTTTGGTTATAAAATAGGGAGTTGGTTATTGATAAAAGCCATCAGATGCAATCTGTGCCAAGTCCACGCACCCTTGCTGTGGAGGTTCTTGTTCGATCCGGGGGGTCGTGCTGGTCACTGCCGGTATGAACCTCTGATATCAGGAACCCGTAGATAGCTCCGATAGGACCCGTCCAGTCTGAGAACCCTCCAGGTGAAGGCAGGAAGCTGGAATGCTTATTTGCATCCAAGGGTGATGTCTGAGAGTCTGAGCAGCTCTGAAAAGAGCTGTTTGGCCGTATCAGAGAGGCTTTTGACTGGAGGTCAAAGGAGATGTATCAAAAATGCTTGTACCTGAATTGGCTGCTTCGAGAATCAGCTGGAAACTAAATTAATCGGGAAGTAATTCTTGTTTTAATAAACCACCATGTTATGAGTTCTGGCCAAGTTTGGTAAATCAGAATTTGAGGATTTACCAACATCCCTCAGAAAGCCACGCCTTCTTCAGATACAAAGATGTTTCTAACACTTTTTGAATGAGAATCTTTAAAACTCTCATGTGAGGTGAATATTAACCTTAATGGGTACCTTATTGTAATGTGTGTGAGCGTAAACAATGATTAACTTGTTAAATCAAACACATACTGGTTTGTGATAAAAATGGATCATTTTAAGAACAATATTCATTTCAAATTCATTGATTTAAGCACAGATTATTCAAACGTTTCATTTAAACATCTTGTTCATTCATCACATGTGATTATTTAACCTATAACTATAAAATTATGGAGTCTTCGAGTAGGTTGTGAGGAATGCAGCAGCCAGGCTTTTAGGCAGAATGCAGGACCTTGGGAGAGAATGTCTGTCTGGATGTTTTGCCTTCTTGTATGTAAACAAGCGCTGAGCAGAACCTTCTGGATTTAGAAGGCCAAATAGAAAGTGGATTTATTTCTGTAGATGAAAGGTTATTATGTTGAGGTGAAAATTGACCCTTTTTGGTACGTTACAATATTTTGCACCAATTAAACATGTTTACTTTGACCCGAGTGCTCCAGCCTTCTTCCACTTCACAGAACAGTGGTGACCTTGACCATTAGATACTTCTAGTGTCTGAGTATTTATATCAATCTGAAGATATTTTCCTCAACATTTTCATGAGAAATCACAAAGATCAGCTAGAGATCATAAGTAATGGTTGTAGTTGGTGCAGACACAAACTTAGCTGGCACTAAGAGACGGTGCCAGGATTTATATTTACAGACACATGACACGCTGTGAGCTAGCTTCTTAAAGGTATCTTCTCCTTGCCTCAACGAGTCTCAGCTTTAACAACAGATGGTCCCATCTGTTTGCTCACATCGAAACACACTTCATGTGTTTGTGGGGCTCCACTTTAGTGGCATGGAGGAAACTCGGAGAAAGAAATGTTTCTCACAGAGAGAAGCAATTATAAACATAGATAATTGCCAAAGCTTTATTGGGTAAACACTAGGATGAATCCCCACTCCTCACAACCATGTATGACAACAGTGAAAAAATAATTCAGATGGATCAGGAACAAACAAATCAGCTCATAACAGATGGGGTTTTTATGATCACCGTCTTCTTCTAGTAAATTAGTAAACAAAATTTGTAAAAGAAGTGAAAATGTTTTTTTTTTGTCTTGCTATTAAACTGATTCCCAGGAGAAAACAATATCTATCAGAGAAGACACTGGTTTCCTCGGACTCTTCCATCCTGACTGAGTTCATGTGGTGGAGAACAATTTAGGGATGTGCCAGAGAGCGACTTTGCTTCAGCTTGTGCTTTTTATCTGCTCAAGGCCCTGTTAGATCATGAAGCGTGACATATCGGGACCCAGTGAATGAGAACCACATGACATGTTGCTAATGAATTCACACTTTGGTGACCATAAAGGCTCGCCCATGTGCCTGCTGTCTCAGCATGGCGTTGCATGACTTCTGTAGCCTGAAGATTGATACTACAAACAACAGCATGCAGCCCTGTTCCTTACGGTGGCAGATGGTTGTGGCTGCGTGAGTGTTAGTGTGGATATTTATTTTATGAATGAGCAAAACCTAACAAAAAATGAGCAAATAGGGCAAATTTAGAAGATCTTGTGAGTGTTCTGCAGTATAAAGTGTGTTAGTGCAGTGAGTGACAGCTTTTTCTAAAGTGAAACACCAACTATTCACAATTTTTTATTATGTATGTTTGCTGTCTAGTCGTCTGCAGAGTGTCTTACAAGTCAACTGCAATTTACAGAGTTATCAAGTCCAATGTACATTTGAAAGCTCTATTGTCTGATATAACGAGGAAAACAAACAAAGTTACGATAATATATGCATATATATATATATATATTTTTTTTGACCAGAGTGCTTCAGCCTTCTTCCACTTCACAGAACAGAACAGTGGTGAGCTTTGACCATTAGATTACTTTATATCAATCTATACATATTTTCTCAACATTTTCATGAGAAATCTCTCTCTCTCTCTCTCTCTATATATATATATATATATATATATATATATATATATATATATATATATGTATGTATGTATATATACACACACACACACACACACATATATATATAAATATATATATATATATATATATATATATATATATATATATATATATATGTGTGTGTGTGTGTGTGTGTGTGTGTTGCATTGCCTTTGCAAGATAACTATCCCAATACAACCTTTTTTATACATTACATTCATTATAGTTCCATCAATATCGTGATCTCAACGATGTTTCTTCAAGGACGGTTAGTGACTGCTGTGCTGTTTCTTTATTCCTAGAGCTTAATCCAACCACATCACTAGCAACCATCTTTCAAGGTCTAGAGGGCAGAAACACCTGACAGCATCACTCATGCTGAACAGTTGCAAATGTTTTATCAGTTTATAAAAAGGACCTAATTTAATCGACTAAAACATCCTGATCTGCTGCCCCATCCATTCATCCATCCATCCAAACATCAGTCCATCCTCTCTACAACAACTAATGGTCATCATTGCTGTGCTTGTGGAGTACCAGATCAAGCTGGTGGTCCCCATTTTTATAAAATAGATCCATTGATTTTAATGTTCTTGCCCTACTGTATGAATAATGTCCAACTAGGTATAACATTTAATTGACAGGGACTGTCAGAGAGATGAGCACTGGTGAACGGGTCTGCAGGCTGAGGGGAAGGGTTAAGTGGCGTGGATGTGCCATGTTAAGCTCTCACTGCCAATTCAATGACCCTTTGGCCTACTCTGCAACAGTGAAAGTGAAAACAAAGGACAGAAGCTTAGGCATTAGTTTCATTGTACACAGTACTATCCCACCTTGGCATGACAACAGGTGTTAAGAGAAAGAATTGCAGCTTGAGGGTCACAATATTTGGCTCACTGGACAGAAAGATGTTGCTTGCCAGTTGAGTACTCAGGGCTTAAAGAAAACCCAGAAATCTGGGTCGCAAAAATGTTGAATATAGGGAAAATGTTAAATGTTGGAAACTCAGCATGTCACATCCGAATAAGCTAATATTCATTATTTTACAAGCACAGAGAGCCGCATCAGATGGATGGAAGAGCCGCATGCGGCTCCAGAGCCGCGGGTTACCGACCTCCGGGTCTCCATGCCCTGGGTGGCAATTCGACAACAGAGGTGCCCGTTGGGGCCAGTGGGGGAGCTGGCTCCCTGGAGGGCTAAGCCCAACCAGCCATTCCTCCCCAAGCAGACTCTTGCTCATTATTGTTTATATTTGTGGACACCCACCCCCCCCCCCACCCCACCCCCGCGCGCTTCACAGCCAGACAGGACATGGTTGAAAAAAAAAAAAGAAAGGAGAAGCCACCCTGAAGAGTAGGAAGGAACAACATCTTCAAAGGCTTGAACCATAAGGGTCTGCAGCAAAAGCTCTGCGCTTTCATCATCTGACCAAGGTCTTCTGTCAACTGATGCTGTTTGGGCATTTGGTTAGCATGCCTCTTTAGGAAGTTCTGATGCCCTCCCTAGTAAACCCAGGACACGCTGGAAGGACCTTATCTCTAGACTGAGACTAAGAGTACACACTTAACCCAACTTGCATGTTTTTGGTTTGTGGGAGGAAATCAGAAGAAACAAATGTGTTTTACAGGTAGAAGGTGCAAACCTCTCATAGAAAGGCTCCTGGTGTGATTTGAATGAGAGACTTTCTAATTATGATGTGCTAACCTGTAATCATCATGCAGCCAGGAGGAGTTAAAAAATCTTGGATGAATGATTTATGAATAAGGTGAAAATTTCTGTTTCACATAAACGGAATCAGCTTCCGTAATCAGATCAGAAATCACGTCAGATAAAGAACGATCAGAGGTCAGAATTCATGCAGAAATAACACAAGCAGGTGTAATGGGGAGGGGAGTAAAGGAGGAGCAAAGACAAAAAAAGTTGTGTGAGGTAGAGAGAGGAGGATGGAGTGAAAAATGACAAGACAAAAACAAGGGAAAAGCAGAGACCAAAGATAGGTGCATTCACAGGATGAAATAATCTCTGTGCTCTCAGGTAACATATGGTGCTCCTGCTAACTCAAAGAGCTGTGCAGGATTATTTGATGTGTGCAATCCAGGAGGAAGTGAAGAATACAGCAGGTCTTTGGTAGACTGCTCCAGATTTGAAGTGATGAAAAACAGAAACAGCAAAAAGCCTCCATGTGTCCCTGGTGGATCATTTGTTCTCCATAATTCTTGGAATCAACACTTGTCAGGGAACACATCACTGATAGCTCCACCAATTTATTGTATCATAGGTAATAACATTCTGTGAATAAAATGAGAAGCTGAGTCAAAAGTGAAAAACAACAAAAAAATACAAAGAGAAGAATCAAACAAATGATCATTAATGAGGCCTAATTATTCAGATGCTAGGAAACGTAAAAAAACAATAAAATATATAAAAAGGGAAAGACACGTCATCAAACCCTGATTCAACAACAAATACTAGAACTTGAATCAAATGAAAAAAAGGCTCTTCTCTGTTCCAGTGTCAACTAGGAGAGAAACTACAACCCTGAACCTAGAGTAGCAGCTAAAATAAGGTCATCAATTTAGGACTGAAGAAGATCCGGGGCTTAACACACACACGTGCACGGGCACACACGTGACACGCACTAGTCAACATCATATATATTTGTCTTGTACCACATAATTTTTAATCTGAAGCTACATATTAAGCATTTTCAGGGCAGAGTATTGTTCCTGTTAATGTTTAGTGTGAGATGATAGTAAATATTCCCTTTCTCCATCAACTTTACCTGATAAGCTAACTTTAGGCAAACCGCCAGCACAACAAATATTTTCAAATAAGACTCACAAACCTGAGTCAACACCAGTCTCATCAAAGCTGGGGTTCTGTCGCCGTACTTTTGGTCTAAAAAACGTCCTTATGTCCATCTTCACTCATGAGTTTCAGGCAGAGACTGTAGAAGAAGCCGGCTGCTGAAGGGCTTCTTCTTCAGTGGTGGAAGCTCAGGCAGGCTGTGTACAAACTACTGTCAGCTGCTCCCTCTCTGTTGGACTTTGGTACTGCATGTTACTTCCGCGATTTAGATCCGGGGCTTTTCATGAAACATCCGGGGCTTCAGCCCACGTAGCCGGGCCTAACGCCGCCCCGATCAACATTCCTTTCTGCTTCTGTTATCTCTATTCTGACATGACAAACAAGAAGAAGAAGAAAAGGCTTATTTTGAACAACTATTATATTATACAATTGAAGCCTGAACAGCCTGCACGGTGCCTGGTCTAGCGTTAATGCTCCCACCGTCCCAGTTGTACATTATGTAAGGGTAGACTGTACAGTTGCACTCTGAAACTGGGTGCAGACTTGAAGAACAATAGTTTTCTTAACTAAGGCCTGGAAAGTAAAGAGAAAGAAGGACAGATAATCATGCCCATTTTTGACCAGAACCTCCCCTCCCACAGTCTCCAGGGTGCCCCCGGTTACAGTAATAGTTCTAAAGATAATTTCATCAGATATTCCTGCCACGTGTGGTGTGTTAAGAGCACCCTGGTCAACTGGGAAGACCACTGGGACCACTCCAAATGAAAACCTGGAATATTCAAAATGCTGGATTGTCTTGGGTCTATGTTACAGCATGCGTGATGAGCCCTGTGAACAAACATGCATGAGTCCAGTGGCGCCCCGTACTCCTCTACCATGTTTGTTTACACCAAAGTTTGATCTCAAGAGGTTTGTCAAAAATTTCTCATCAGACCCTTAGGTTTTTGTGTGTTGCTTTGTAGGACTAAAACTCATGTAGTCATGACTTGTTATCTCCACATGTGTGGTCTTTCATGCTTTGACAATCATCTGTTTTGTGGCTGGGATCTGACAGTAAAGGAGGCAGCAAGCAAATGGAGTCCCTCTGGGGTGTAGGATCCCACATTTACTCCTGGTACAGCTGAAACAGTGTAAAACCTCTCCCCTGCTTTGCCAATCATAAAACTATTTTCTATCAGAAGCTAATATAGGAAATAGGACACAATTTTCATCATTTTCAAAAATAAAAAGTAATTCATTCTCAGTAAATTACCTTTTTAAATTAGAAAACACACTTATTGCAAATACATAGCTTAAAGTACGGCATCCTTGCTGCTCCTGTCTTTGCTGCAAAGCAACACCTACAACAATCCCATTTCACCAACAGTTGCCAGATACGTGTCCTCTTGCTTTTGCTTGAATAGTGCAGCAAATCGTTTTGGCTGTAGTGAGAGTACGCTGGAGTCACTGGAATAAACTGAGTACAGGCCAAACTTGTCAGAAAAAGAAGCATCAGCAGTGAAAACAGAAAAAAGTGCATAAAGCCACTAAAAGTGTAGAAGTGTACATGTGTTATGGTGGTGAAGAGGCCTTGGGCTGTTTTTCTGTTTGTTGACACCGCCAGTGAAGGGCCAGATTTAAGGTAGGTTTAATAATTCATCAGACATGAGACTGAAATGTTTGAGCGCTACATCTGCCAGCTCTGCCTATGGAGGTGGAGGTCACATGGCTCTCTGCTACAAATTCTGTATACTCACAGTATTTTTGTGAGCCAAATGGTTTATATTTCCCTGCATTTGTGTTCTTGGAAGTTGGTTTGACCCAAATCTATGTCAGCATGAGTGGACGTACTTTTCTCCTTTGCAATGTGAGAAAAAAAAGCATCAACTCTTCACTGGGGTTTAGAATTTCATACATATTTTAATACTTAAGTGCCATGTTTCCTAATTATTCATTCATTTCAGGCTTCTTCATATTCTTAGTAAAACTTGAAAAGCTTCTGCAGGCAAGACTGTGGGAGGCACTAACGGAGAGCGAGAGCTGGGCCCAAGCTAGTGTAAAATACAAAAGGGTCTATTTTTCACCATCCAACTGACCACAGTATAACCTTTCATCTACATGCATAAATCCACTTTCTATTTGAAATTACCTAGATCGTACAACCAATAGGGGTCGTAATCGTGACAACATCATCGATGCTGCCGCCCTGTCGGCGGTCTACGAGTCCTTGATTTTTGCTTATGACTATTGTAAACAGTGCACTCAGTCTCACTCTTGCAGCTTAATTTATTTTAATATTAATTTGATGGGTGATATTACGCAGCTATGGTAAATTGTTGCTGTGCTGTGGGGTGCAACATGTGATCACCAGGGGAATAAAGGTGGAAAATGAGGAAAATTTTCCCTGTTTACCTGCTTAGAGGCATAACCACGGAGACCAAGTATCTAACGAAGTCTTTTTGGCTTGTTTGGATCGCAGTTGTAAGGTGACAAAGCTTCACCTTCCAGAGTACTTTCATTCTGGTAAATTACAGATGGTGTACGTGTTTTATACATCGTTTATTTCCTTCAACAGTGACATGCACACACAACACACACATAGGCTACACACACATACCAGTAAACTAATTTGGGCCCACTGACAACACAACTTCTCAGCAAATGAAATGTTTACCTCTCATCCGGACGTTTACATCCGCTTACACCACAAACCAATCTTGGGTCTCTCGTATGGATCCACGCCCTTTATAATGCCACATACCGGTTCCCGACGTCTTTATTTAATATGGCCCTGTGTATTCTCCATACTATGGGATTTTAACATGTTATTTAACACTTTCTTTCTCCCAAATCTGCTTCTTTTCTGCATTGTAATGTTTGTTTTCCCAGTTTGTTTAAGGCCATCAATATGTCTGCGCACATCCCAGAATGCATCGCATTATCACGTGTGATCCCAAGTCCTAGTTATGGAACATTGTGATAAATGCGTAGGGTCCTGGGAAAACCTAAACTCCTTTCACCCCTGGAGTAAAATCTGGGATTAAAAAAAACAAGTGAAGCAGGAAACTGTAATGCAACTGTAAAGATTGATAAAACCAGAAATGGCAGTTATATTAAAGCTTAACATCTCAGGCAGGCAGGGTTACAAAACCAAAATGGGCACCAAGAAAACATCTCTGATCACATTATAAGCAAGTGGACTCAGTTATTGATCAGTGAACTCAAAGCTTTTAAGATGAAACAACCCGATAAACAAAGTAAGATCAGAAGGAGCAGAAAAAACACACACAAGCTCTAGGATGGTAAACAAAACTCGTGACAACGGGAAAGGGAAATAGGATCCATGTAACAACACATCAGATGGAAGTCAGGCATCTTTGTACAGCAAAAGGAAAACGAGTTTGAATGCAGAACAAAACTGCACACACACATACGCATGCGTGTGTGTGTGTGTGTGTGTGTGTGTGTGTGTGTGTGTGTGTGTGTGCATGGGTAAACTTTATTTGAAGCTTCATCACGTTCATTTGCAGTGTTTACATGCTGGTACTGATAGTGGTAGGACAATAATTTAGTTCAAACATGTCAACACATGTTGTTCTGTCACAGCAAAAGGAACAGGGCTACATGAAGGGAAATATAAAGAGGTTGCAGTTTGTAGTTCAGCCAAAAGAAAAAAACATGTTAAACTTGATAAAAATAATCGGTTTACTATTATGTTCAGCTCACATGAAACCTCTGACCCTAATAGAGACAGAGCATCGGTAAAACGCAAAAGGAATATTCCTGTTTCCATGGCAGCCAAAGCATGCTCTGCTGCCGCTCGGCTAACGCATGATTTCAGCACTTGGAAATATGAAGGGCCACAGATGAGGCAGGCAGAAGTTTAATCATTAGATCTGATGGATGAGAGCCTGAGCTGAGCAAAGGAGGGGGGTGAGGAGAGGGAGGGAGGGGACGAACATTAGACAGAAGAGATGGTGGGAGATGGAGGGTAAGTGGGAAAGAAAGAGTGCTTGAGGAAGATTTACAGGACACATGATGGAGGCAGAGCGATGGGGAGAAGGATGAATGGAGGGAGATGTGCAGGTGGCCGCGAAGGAGGATCCGTCTAACAAATTGCCTTCTCCTCCATTATGGAGGCTGTCAACATGGACGCCTCTGTCAGCCTCATGCACACTCGTGTTTGTCTTTGTTGTGCACTATTACACACACAGAGCCTTCTGAAGACACTGACCAACTGAATCACCCATACCTGCTTCATCACTTCCTTAAAAATGCATGTGCACAAACTCTATTTCCTGTTACGGGTGATGAAGCAGTTTGTCATGGCAGTGCTTTAGTCAGCTGCCGTGTAAACATCATAGTAACGCTGCTGTGTGTCAGACTTGAGTGAGTACTCATGTTTCATTGTGGGTCTTAGTATCCTGGGCTGTTAGAACCCAATGAATGAGTGATCCTGACAGGAATCATGTAGGAGCTGAAAAAAGGTTATTCTGTCTATTAACATGCATTCAAATCCTTGGCATTCAACCATTTCATAACAAAATGTTTTAAATTAAAGTATAGACCCATTGAAGCATGACGTCATGTGTCCATTCCCCCACCCCACAGCCCCAGGCTGGAGGGGAAGAAGCCGGCACCTCCCTGTTGACCAACCTGGTTTGTTTATCTGTTAGTTGTCAATAAACATAGCTAAATATGGGCAAAATAAAATCTATCAGCATGGTTAACACATGTAGAGCTGTAGGCTGCACAAGTAAATCAAAAGAGGACAGCAAATATTAAGTTTTACAGGTTTCCAGCTGATAAAATATGCTGAAGGCACTGGTTAACGGCCAATTCTAGTGGATAAACCACCCACATCATGGCAGACAAAGTCATGTGACAGAATAAAGAAGTAAAATATCTGCCCCGCATGTCTAGACACAAACAAGTTAGAGCCATCTAATGACTTTTTTTTATATAATTATGCGTGACGGTGGGGACGAGGAGACGGGGGAGAGCCGACTGACTGAGCATAGTGCTGCTTATCAGTTCTGGGGAATAAACGTGTATGAAAGTGACAACACCAACACACTGTTCGTTTTGTCTCTGAACATGGTGCTGGCTGGTCACTTAATGTGTCAACAGTTGGGGGTGTAACGGTTCACGGGGGTTATTTGAACCGTTTCGGTTCAGGCAGTTCGGTTCGGTCCACTTGCGTACCATTTTGGTTCATTTTTTCCGTTAAATAATGAAATTTTCACTCATTTGCTTGATTTAAGTGCAGCAGATAAAAGTTCCTTGGTGAGTTTCTGCACAGACGCTATATTGAGTGATGCATGATGGCTGCACGCGCCCGGTCTCTCTGGGCCAGGGAATCAACATACACATTGTGGGTCTCAGTAGGACTACTAAAAATCATCACCTCAGTCTTTTTATCATTGAATTTTAAAAAGTTAATAGACATCCAAGCCTTTATGTCATCAAGACACTGAAGTAATGGCTGTATGAGGTATCCGCCTTTTTTCTGAAGAGGGACATAGATCTGATAGTCGTCAGCATACAAGTGGAAAGCAATGCCATGCTTACTCAGTATAGACCCGAGAGGAAGAAGATACAAAGAGAAGAGGAGAGGGCCAAGAACCGAGCCCTGCGGGACACCACACAAGAGAGGAGCAGAGGACGACACAGTCACCGAGACTGACACAAAATGTTCGCCCTGCCAAGTAGGACCTGAACCACTCGAGAGCTGTGCCTCTAATGCTCACCCAGTGCTCCAAACGAGAGAATAAAATGGCATGATCCACAGTATCAAAAGCAGCTGTCAAATCTAAAAGCACAAGAACAACACAGTCCCCAGCATCAGTAGCTAAGAATATGTCATTAAAAACTTTTAAAAGGGCTGATTCGGTGCTGTGAAAGGGTTTAAAACCAGATTGGAAAACCTCTAATACATTTTGACTTTCCAAAAACGCCAATATTTGGCTATAGACTATCTTTTCAAGAATTTTAGAAAGAAAATCGTCATATTTTGACACTTGGTCACACGCGTCAATATTTGATGTTTTGGGTGTGAGAATGTGTTGGATCTTCAAATTCTGATCAATGTCTTTCAGAGAAGATCAAACCAGTTGACTATTGCAGCTACTGTGGAGTCTGTGTAGAGACTGAATGGAGCATCGTGTCGCCTCTCCCTCTGTGGTGCAGATCTATTTAGCTGTTCTTGAGCACAGCTTTCCACAAAGCTGCTAAGTCAAGCCTTGGGTGACAGTTTGTTGGGAGCATATTCCAATAAACAATAGAAAATCTTGTAGTTTGTAGAGTTGATCAGTTTAATGTATCACTGTCAAACAGTAGAAGAAACACCAATGACTCCAGCTCCTGAGATTTTAGGCATTTATGTAAGAAAACAGAACAGCAAATGCGCAAGAGTGAGACAAAACAAACGCTTTCCCCCCAACAAATACAACATTAAAAATAAACAATAGTGGAACAGATAATTTAAAACTACATTGTGTGGGTGAGTTCAGCGTAAATAAAGATAATCTGAGGGATGTAGATAGGAAAATACATGAATGAATGAGTGATCTGGTTGACATTTCAAAATAAAAACTAAATAAAAATAAAAACATGTCTAATCATGTTTATACTCAGATCAGCAGTAGGAAAAACCAACAGAAGGAAGTGAACCAGGAATCATGCCAGCCGTCCAAACCAGCTCTACTCTGAGCTCCACTGGAAGATTGAGCTACTTGAAGTGAGCTCGTTCCAGCGGCTTGGATTCAGGATTTTCTTCCACGATCCAAATCTTATGACTGTAGGTGATGGGATCAGCAAATCTAGAGTTTTGTTTTTCAGCTGAGCTCCCAGTCATCTAAACCAGAGAAAGCAACACCCTTGTTATTGCAGAGAAATCTTTGTACATCTCATCTCCACCCTACCATTACCTAAGAAAAAGCCAAGGTTAGGAGTAGACTGGTTATGGTTAGATTTAGGGTTAGGCACAAAATGAATGGAAGTCAATGACGGTCCTCACAGTGAACGCTAGACAAGATTGTGTTTGTGTGTGTGTGTGTGTGTGTGTAAATAAATTACGTCTGTAAACAAGATACTTAAGCTTCCCCACATTTTGCTAGTTGACCTGTAATTATGTGAATTAATAGACTACCTTATATTGATCATCATGTCAGCTTGTCAGAATTAGCTTTTTCATGAGACGTGAAACTATCCAGGTGATTGAAACATAGACAGAAGATATATAAGTGTAAAGACGACAGCAGATCCTGATTTTTCAGGAGATAAATAACTGATAATTGGTCCATGTCTTCTTTCTCCATTCACTTGTTCATCTAGACAGTTCAGCACAGTGTAAACTCATAGAGCTCCGGACCCCACGTGACTTTCAGTTAGTGGACGCCATTTTGGCATGCAAAAAAGGTAAACAAACACGGATGTAACCATGAACATGAACGGGATCCGCTTGCATTTTACTTCGTCGGAGTTTACTTCACACTTTAAAACAGAAGAAATCATTTTATATAGTCAGAAATTAAATAGACTAAACATCTCCGACCCTTACCGTGCCCCTGGGATACTTTTTAAAAACGCCAGAAGCTGTCGTAGCGGACTTCTTACCGGCACAACACCGGACCTGACCGGGGAACCCCTTGGGATTTACCCGGAGGAGCTGGCTCCGGCGGCTGGGGAGAGGGAAGTCACGCTACTGCCCCCGCAACCCGACTCCGGATACGCGGATGAAAATGGATGGATGGACGGACAAATAACAGATTTACACCTAAGTAGTCTCGGTGAGACAGATGATAGCAATCCAAAGTGCTTTTTATGTGTGATATGACAATTGATCAACCATTGCTTAAAAATTAAATACAGCTTAGCCGGTTAATTGCTGTGATCATAAAACACGTAAACAGCAGCACGCAGAACTCACGAGGCAAAGTTTTACGTGATGTTTACTTGCTGCTATGAGTAATAAGACAGAAAAAGCCACGCCAAAATAAGTTTAGGAAGCCCACTAAGAATCATAATAAAAGCATTTAAAATAAATACCATACACAGTTGAGGAAACGTTGGTTTAAGTACCTGATATGAAGCGGTCGCTGCATAAGCGAAAACCTTTACTCTCGGGATCCCACAGCTTCATTTTAGCCCGGTCACTAGCGCGTTTTATTACAATGATCCAAAGTTTGCGGCGCTCTGGATCTTGGGGAATCCTGTAGATGGCTCATCCCTTATGTCGTCCGCGTCTGTTCTGCATCCTGGGGCACAACAGGAATCTACCATATTTCCCGTTTGATTGAGTTTTCTGACAATAACAAATAGTCCAGCTGCCGGCTTCTGCATGCCAATATGGCGCCGTTTCGATTTGAACTGTTGCATGCCGGGAGAAGTGACGTCAACTCCCGGAGCTCAATAGTGTCGGAGGCTTCTTCTATTCTTCAGCAGGACCAACTGTAGTGGTGTTCTTTGAAGTTGAAGTGTGCTCACTGACAGCAAATGGGTTGGCAGGTCTTGATAGATGTCGTGCAAACTAAATTGAGTTACGGTTTCATGTATTTTTATACACTTAAGCACTTTATTCATATTTCAAACCCTTCTAGAATTTTAAATGTACCACACAAAAATGCAAGGATTTCAAAGCACCGTTACAAACCCAGCAGCACCCCACCAACTGAAGACAGCTTTCAGTGTAAAAATATTCTAAAATTCCCAGCAAAGGGAAGATCCCACATTTTCGTTAAAGGACTCATACAATAGAAAATGTATTGGCGCGTTCATGCTTTTCTGTTTCTCGAAAAAAATATAGCGTTATTTACAAAAGAAAAACTTTACATGCAGTTAGTGTATTCTTCATCTAACAAGTGAACTGCAAATGCTCTGTTTTCAGCAGATATCTCCTCCACACCTCTGAGCAGTGAGGATTGAAGTGCGCGCACTAGATGCTGCATGCTCTCTCAGCTATGCATGCTTTTCCCCCTCATCTCTCCCCACCCTTGTGTAACCCCCCTTTCCTTATCTGTAAAATGGGAGCACCTTAGGGTTGCATGCCCACAGTTAACCGTTTCTTGTCTATGTATTCCACGTATTGTTTGTCTGATCTTGGAAATGGTTGATCAGAAACTACATTTAGTTATACTGGGACACTGGTTCAATGACAATATACTTCTATTCTATTCTATTCTATTCTATTCTATTCTATTCTATTCTCAGTTCAATTAGGGATGGGCTGATATCACATTTCCATACCCAATAGAAATATCTACTATGGAGTACCTATATTTAGGATCATGTAAGGTCATGTGGAAAGTCTCAACCATAATCTTTACAAAAAAATAAAATAAATAAATGGCATCATTCAATATCTTGTAGTTTCATGAATGGCCTCTAATTTGTGAACCAAAGGTCACATTTTCCCAGCTGGGTCAAGCTGGGTCGAGCCGTAACTTTTGTCCCACAGATTAACCCAGGAGCCGTGATGTCTGCTGAACAACATCTTTATCTGCTGCTGTTCCGTCCCAAGATGAAGGACACTTCAAGATTTTACAATAATAATTTTAAAATAATAATTTTAATAAACTCTTTGACTTTATTACTGTTTATTACAAGGCCCTTGAGCCTGTGAGGCTGAAACGAATACCTCTGTCTGAGGTGTTTTTTGCATTGCAAAGCTGCCCTCCCTGTGGAGGGTAACTCTGAAGTGCTTTTTTTTCCCTCCACCTGAACCAATCCTCATGTAAACTCCTCTGATCTCTATTACGGTAGAGCGACTCGGGTTGCATATGACCACAGTCACCAATTCTTGTCATGTGTCTTTGCCTATGTATGTATGTCTGATCTCAGAATTGTGTGTACTGAACCTCTCATTTCCCTCTGGGATTAATAAAGTATCTTTGAATTGAATTGAATGAGCTACAGTGTAGTCACAGCTGCACTGGGACACACTGACAGAGGCAAGGCTGCTGAGCACCACCAGCAGGTAGGTGGGTTAAGCGTCAACAGCATTCTCTGCCGGGAGCTGGGATTGATCCAACAACCCTCAGATTTCAGAACAACCTGCTCTCCCTCTTGAGCTACTGCTGCCACAACATCCAAGTTGTCCATTGATTTTTTTTCATTTGGATAGATGTTTGTAACAACAAACGCCATGGAATTTCTCCTACAGCATGCAACATTACAGACAACTGGATCTGCATAAATGGCCAGAACTGCACAACTCCGTAGTAAAAAAAATGTTGAGCTATTTTGCTTGCTGAGAAAATTAGTCATCATCACCTGATCAGGACCTTTTCTGGTAAACACTAAACAAATGACATAGGAAATGCACAGTTCCCAATGTGATATCTACTTAAATAAAAATTGTGCCAAGGTTATCTGAAGCCCTTAAAAAGACTGTGCATGTATCTAATCTCTAGCTCAAATCCTGCCAAGTCCATTGTGTAAACCCAATGATGAACTGAGCTTGGCAGACCAGGAGGTGCCAACTCAAACACAATCACCATGTGTGCTCCACAGGGACTCTCTGAGTGGCCAAAGGAGACTGTAGGACAGGAAAGAAAAAAGTGAGAGAGATGTATGCTGTTGCCATCAGACACCCTGAACTCTTCCAAGCGAGCTGCATCCAAAACTGCACTTGACAAATGAGTACAGGGACTCAGAGCATAGGAAGTCCCTGAGCTACAACACTAACAACGCACATACACAACGCTTCATTGAGAATGAATGGGAAGGTGGGTGGTGGGCTATGAGGTGAATGAAAGGAAGATAAAGGAGGAAAAAAACTGTTAGAAAATTTAAAAGAAAGCTGCCTGGTGTTAAGATTCATGACCTTGTTTATAATAAACAAGTTTTAAACAATAAATGATTGTGATCATTTTGTTCATAGTCTTATTTATTTACTGTTGGTGACAAAATGCTTTAACAGGTGAGGTCCTTTGGCGTAGACACAATTCCAGCAGATCTCTTGACATGTGTGCTTTTTATTCTTTTTATCAATGTAAGCTAGAACTTAGTGATTTACTTTCTAAGGACCTTTGGTTCCCAAAAGGGAAGGGCGTTTCCCTCACATGGTGCCTGATGGACTCAAATCCCACATAATTAGTATTACAAACACATGTACACACAAGTCAGACACAAGGTCACACAGAATCTCTGCCTTCCCAATGTGATGTTAAACGCGGGGAATCTCTGCTATGTTTAATTTGTCCTTTATCTTGACATGGTGTGTCAGTGTCCTCTTGGCCTTTTGTTTTATAATTAGTTTCTCTGCCTGTTTTTCATCCTGCATATTTACAGCCCGTACAGGTAACATCTGGGACTCTGTCTGATCTTCAGATATGATGATGAAGGCCAAACAATGACCCCTTTCTCCTCTGTCACAATGAGTACGTTTACATGCAGCCAATATTCGGGTTATGATCGGGTTAAGGTCGGGATTCGGGTTTCTGAGTTGATCAGAATAACCCGTTTACAAGCATAAATAGAAAGAGTTACCTCTAACTTGCATAACCCGATTTCACTGCGGACGTTGGGGTAGCGTCAGGACGTATGGACTACGTCCAGACGCAATATGCCTCATTTCCGGTTCTTCTTGTTCCGGTATCCGTGAAAACAACAACATGTTTCCCAGTTCGGAAGAGATAGTGACCACGTTTGTTTGCGCTTTAGTTTCCTCGTCACTCCAAAAGTGTGGTGCTGTGCCGCGACTCGCCATTTTGCCCCCAACTTGTTGTTTACTTCCGGTGTTCTGGCGCATACAAGACGTCTCGCTACTCAAAAGACCAAGATTCCTTGCGAACAGAGCATGTGCAGAACACACGCTTTGATGGGGATATCCCGGTACGAGTTTACACGACCAAA